CCCACCCTTGGAGGAAGCTAAAGTCAATGTTTAAGGGCTAATGATAAATATCACAAAGCCTCCCATTTGAAATAATAATAATAATGATATTTAGGCGTTAGGACAGTTAATAGTATTTCATTACTTGTCTTCCGGCTTCCCAGTACCTCTGGATTTCCGTCGTCGTTTTCTATAGGACTGAACATCAAATCATGTGGGTCTTCTCATTTCCTCTTGTAGGCCACATAGGGGGCATGTTGGTTGAATGTATACTCCTAATCTGTGAAGGTGCTTTTTCAGGCAATCGTGTCCGGTACGTAGTCTAAATTCAGCAACGGCTTCGATTCTTGGCCAGTCCGCTATATCGGAGAGTGCCACTGTCCACTGTTTCGCCTTTGTTCGAGCTTTAATTTCGTTGCACCTTGAGGTATGGAATTCTCTCCTGATTAAGGTCTTCATTGTGTGGAAAGACATGGGAGGTCTATGCCTTGCAAAATTGTAGTCCCCTGCCCAACAAGTGCGTCAGCGCGTTCATTGGCTTTAATGCCACAGTGTCCAGGGATCCATTGTAGAACCACTATTTTTTCTCTCAGTTTTACATTCGTATATCTCAGCTGTTTTGGGCCTCTTTCCAATTGAGTTTATTGCTGACTGTGAGTCCAAAAGTCTGTTCCAATAGAGTCTATTGCTGACTGTGAGTCCGAAAGTATCTCCGCTTTGGTGAATTTCATATCTAGGCAGCAAAATTGTCATGCCTTGTGACATCCCTCCAGCATTCCACTGAAGGATCTGTAGAAGTTGGGATTCGCCCTGACAAGAGCGATTTCTCTTATAGTTTCGTTTCAGGCTGATCAAAATAATTCGAAGTCAACTGCCGGCTAATGGACTTTTTGCCGTATGAGTAAACGTTGTCCAGGGTGCACCACGTGAAGATAAGTCTATTACAGACCTCAAGCATTACATAATTAGTTATAACTTGGCATATTTCAAACGAGTACGTATTCAGCGAGCTCTATCGTTCAAGTGAAGCTCACCTTTTCAAGCTATCTGAAGATTGATCACAAAATATTTTAATGGGCGTTGTCTATGGTTGTTTAAGGTGCCTGTTTGGTTTTTTATTGTTTTTTATTAATTAGGAAAGTTATGTGGGGTTAGATGTAGGAAACAATTTCCTCCACTGTTTGATGCTCTTCAACTTATCGAAAGAAGGAACATTTCTTTTACCATATTGCATTAGAAGGCCTTGGAATATGTGGATTACAGCCTAAATTACCGGAAATTATCTCTTATTATCCGGTTCTGCTTAATTGTGCAAGCATTTATAGCGGACTGCCACACAAATAAACCCTGACTTTTTCTAGCATTGAAAGGCTCCCGAGGTTATCTAAGCTAGCGCAAGGCTATCAAGGAAACAGACCCATGAGATGCATACTTTTAATTGGGGCTGTGTGTCACTGACGCTTAGCTAAGTCATTAAAATACAAAGAGAGGAACTACTTATCTGTGACTGCCTGGGTGATGTTAATGATCACGACGCGTTTACTCCTAACGCGGCAAGTAGCACGGCCGCACCTTCGAGTCTGCCTAAGTGCGCATGAGATGACTTTGTTCAGCCATGCTAGCGTTTTGCCCTCCACGCATTATATTAGGACGCTGTAATTGTGAATAGAAATTCGCGTATAGGTTTGATTTTAAATTTCTGAAAAAAGCATTCCTCGAAGTGCACGCTTTCGCATTTAAAGCCGGAATAATACTAAAATAATCATTAGATGAGCTACTAGACTGAAGCCGGCAAGACTGGAGGTGACTAAACTCGAAATGAGCGCTTGTAAATATGCTTTTTTGTATAGGCATTTATCACTTTTGGATTGATATTGAAGAAAAGCAATACAGTGTGGAATTAATCTAGGTTTAATATTATGATCATTTCAGTTGTCAAATAGGTTACTATTACTATTTGCTTAATTGACAATAATATTTAATTAATGGGGACTTAATTAAAAACTAATTACTGGCAAAATCGGGTCTTTCAAAGCTCGAACAATCAATCAACTCGATTATTGATTTATTTTTTCTTAATTAATCTACTGTTTTAAGATATTTCATTTCTGAGCTTCGTGGTAGGATGCTACAAATAACATCTCTTAAAAGAACAAAAAAAACATTTATTCAAACCAATATGGTTTTATCCTTTAAGGACTGCCTAACTGTGTGTGGATTTGACACCACCTATCTGCCTTTCACAGGCATAAAATTGCCGGTATATTACCATTCCCACTGATAGGAATCGATCAGAAAATGGTTCTTAGACGATAGGAAAGCCCGAATAACCATCCCTAGTCCTTCGTCATACTTGTTGGAAAGCTGGTTGGGGATGAGAATTCGCATCTCGCCTTCAAATTCCATCAGAGCGCAACTTGAAACCCTTTCTGAAAAGTTCTGTCGACAAGCTGAGACGAACTTCTGTAGACTAACCAATTTTTTTCTTTATTTATTATCCACGGACTCTCCCTTAAGTAAATTTCAATAAAAGCCTAAGCACTTCTTACATCGAGCAAAATTTCTACAGGCAAAGTCGATCATCCATGTCAGAGCCCAAATTTCCGGTCATTGCGCTACCTTTTTGGGATGATAATCTCTTTATAAGCGTTCTTATTGATGTACTAACTACTCCAAACTCAACCCTGAGTTCGGTATTGAGAAATAATATATACACACACACACATCTAGTGGTGTGGCTAACCAGAAGCCCGGATAATTCCATTCGATAGGAGAGGATGCAAAGTGAGTGGCCTGGAAAATAATCCCACCTAAATTAGGTACTGCGAACACTGCTCCTAATGAACAATATAGTAGAAAAAGGAACAAGCCGTTAAAAAGCAAGAAGGTATATTTTGTGGCAGTCGTTTAAAAAGAAATAATGAGTCAATATTAAACAAATTTAGCCAAATAAATAAGCAATTACTTCCCCCTCAAGCCCAGGGTTCAAGAGCCCAAATACCATGAGTAAAATCAACCGCCATTTTAAACATTTCTTGAGCCCTATCATACACAAAATTAGGTCTCTCGATCAGAGCATTCATATCTTCCAGAAGTTTTTTCGCTGCTTTCACACTTCCTCCATTTACCACACCACGTTCTACCAGTTCAAATTGCTTTGGAAGCACAACATTTGTCAGTCTCTCATACAATACCACAGCTTTTGGTGATTTACAATGCGAACACCTTCTAGCAGGTAGAGTGAATACCTCTTTACACTGAGGACACTTCAGCGCCCTCATAGCTACCATCCTGACGTCAAGAAATCCCGGCCAGTCTTCAGTACAAGCCTTACAGGCACACTGAAACAAATAGTGAGAGGTCAGCTCTTTCTGACGTTCCTCTTTTGAAGCTATAGAGAAGCAATCAGTGTAGCAGTCGAGGATTTCAGTTCCAGCTGGTAAAGGTCGTAGAGCAGCTATGAAACACGATGCCCCTCCCCCGGTACACACGCGAAAAGTATTAGGATCACACGAATGATTGACAAGCGACAGAGTCGGATAGAGACAAGAAACAATGTGCTGTGGTTGCACTGCTCCGAGATTATTCAAAGAGACAAAGACTTCTTCTGAGTAGCTGTGACCATTAGCTGACACAGATTGAAGGTGATAGAGAATGCAAGCGGCAACCCAGCTAGCAGGAAGACGATTTGGACGCTTAGTTAGTGAGGGTGCTGTATAGAAATCTGGTGATTCATCGAACCAATCCATGGGATAGCCACCAAGCTGATCAAAAAAAACAAAATAGGCTAAAATAAACAAGTTCTGTTAGAAAAAATGACTTAGTAAGGTCCCGTACCGAGAGACAGTAAGTGAGAAAGACAGCAGCGACTGTACGCTGCCAGAGATCAGCGCGATTTCGCTGTTCGGAGCAGGCAACAAGCCAAGCTGCTGCTGAGTAGTCAGTTGGGTCAAGAAGTGAAGGAGGCTTTTCCCGTACCTTAGTGGCTCCTTCGAAAGCCTGATGTCCTCGGCCTTCTTCCTGCAAGATAAAAGCTCTAATCACCAAGCACGAGGCGATTCGTCTCCTTCTCTGGTGAGAGCTGCCCAACAAATTTAACAAGTTTACCTTGCTACCAGTTTTATTCACTTTTATTCCACAACTTCCAATGAGTATGTTGATTTATACCGTTTCGGGTACGTATTGAGGGAATCAATGGATGGAAAATCAGTTTCAGATCTACTAATAGGAAAAACAGCCCGAATCAATACGCATTAAGAAGAGCAAATCAAATGAAGCAGCGAAAAGTGGGTGTGTCCAATGTCGACGTATCTCGTGTTTGCTTAAAATTTCCGAATAGGTCGCATCTAGACGACTGGAACTGCAGTGGTATACAAAAAGGGAGCCATTTAAAAGAGATGATGTTGTGGTAAAAAAAGGAGTTGTAAACTATTTTTAAATAGTCTCCTTTGAAGAAATTAAAATTGTACTTTAATGAAATCCTTAATCAGAAGAGAATTCCAGACCTCAAGGTGCAACGAACTTAAAGCTCGAACAGACCTCAAGATGCAACGAACTCAAAGCTCGAACAAAGGCGAAATAGTGGACAGTGGCACTCTCCGATATAGCCGACTGGTCAAGAATCGAAGCCGTTGCTGAGTTTTGACTACGTTCACAGATTGGGAGTATACACTCAATCACATGCCCTTCACAGATTGGGAGTATACACTCAACCCACATGCCCCCAATGTAACCTACTATTGGGAGAATACACTCAACCCACATGCCCTCTATGTAGCCTTGGGAGTATACACTCAACCCACATGCCCCCTATGTAACCTTCAAGAGGAAATGGAGAAGACCCACCTGATTCGGTGTCCCACAGGAGGAAATGGAGAAGACCCACCTAATTCGATGTAACCTACAGGAGGAAATGGAGAAGACCCACCTGATTCGGTATATTGGGAGAATACACTCAACCCACATGCCCTCTATGTAGCCTGGGAGTATACACTCAACCCACATGCCCTCTATGTAACCTAAGAGTATACACTCAACCCACATCCCCTCTATGTAACCTACAGGAGGAAATGGTTCACTAAACCCACATGCCCTCTATGTAACCTACATGAGGAAACGAGAAGACCCACCTGATTCGGTGTCCAGCCCTAAAGACACAGAAGACCCACCTGATTCGGTGTCCAGCCCTAAAGACAGGAAGACCCACCTGATTCGGTGTCCAGCCCTAAAGACAAGGAGAAGACCCACCTGATTCGGTGTCCAGCCCTAAAGACAAGGAAGACCCACCTGATTCGGTGTCCAGCTCTAAAGACAAGCAAGAAAGCCAGAGATACTGGGAAGCAAGAAGACAGCTAATGAGCTGAAAGCAGAGTACGGGGAAGCAAGAAGACTGCTAATGAACTGCTATTAATTAACCGCTATAAATGTAAGAAGCAAGAAGACAGCTAATGAATTGCTATTAATGAACTGCTATAAATGTAATTAAGCCAGAGATACTGGGAAGCAAGAAGACAGCTAAATGAACTGCTATTAATTAACTGCTATAAATGTACCCCCCTTCATGAACGAAGAAGACAGCTAATGAATTTCTATAATTAACTGCTATAAAGACCCACCTGATTCGGTGTCCTGCCCTAAAGACAACGACGGAAAGCCAGAGATACTGGGAAGCAAGAAGACGGCTAATGAACTGCTGTTAATTATCTGTCATAAATGTACCCCCCCCCCTTGGGGGAAGCTGAAGTCAAAGTTTAAGGGCTAATGATAAATATCACAAAGCCTCCCATTTGAAATAATAATAATAATGATATTTAGGCGTTAGGACAGTTAATAGTATTTCATTACTTGTCTTCCGGCTTCCCAGTACCTCTGGATTTCCGTCGTCGTTTTCTATAGGACTGAACATCAAATCATGTGGGTCTTCTCATTTCCTCTTGTAGGCCACATAGGGGGCATGTTGGTTGAATGTATACTCCTAATCTGTGAAGGTGCTTTTTCAGGCAATCGTGTCCGGTACGTAGTCTAAATTCAGCAACGGCTTCGATTCTTGGCCAGTCCGCTATATCGGAGAGTGCCACTGTCCACTGTTTCGCCTTTGTTCGAGCTTTAATTTCGTTGCACCTTGAGGTATGGAATTCTCTCCTGATTAAGGTCTTCATTGTGTGGAAAGACATGGGAGGTCTATGCCTTGCAAAATTGTAGTCCCCTGCCCAACAAGTGCGTCAGCGCGTTCATTGGCTTTAATGCCACAGTGTCCAGGGATCCATTGTAGAACCACTATTTTTTCTCTCAGTTTTACATTCGTATATCTCAGCTGTTTTGGGCGGCTCTCTGTTTCCAATTGAATTTATTGCTGACTGTGAGTCCGAAAGTATCTCCGCTTTGGTGAATTTCATATCTAGGCAGCAAAATTGTCATGCCTTGTGACATCCCTCCAGCATTCCACTGAAGGATCTGTAGAAGTTGGGATTCGCCCTGACAAGAGCGATTTCTCTTATAGTTTCGTTTCAGGCTGATCAAAATAATTCGAAGTCAACTGCCGGCTAATGGACTTTTTGCCGTATGAGTAAACGTTGTCCAGGGTGCACCACGTGAAGATAAGTCTATTACAGACCTCAAGCATTACATAATTAGTTATAACTTGGCATATTTCAAACGAGTACGTATTCAGCGAGCTCTATCGTTCAAGTGAAGCTCACCTTTTCAAGCTATCTGAAGATTGATCACAAAATATTTTAATGGGCGTTGTCTATGGTTGTTTAAGGTGCCTGTTTGGTTTTTTATTGTTTTTTATTAATTAGGAAAGTTATGTGGGGTTAGATGTAGGAAACAATTTCCTCCACTGTTTGATGCTCTTC